AAGCCTGGTAACTAACAGCTAAGGTGATAACCAGGGGGAGGGCCAGAGACAAGACAGAGGCCCCCTGCTGGCCACAAGAAGGGACGGGGTGGAGAGGCCTCCAGCTTCTTGGGGACTAAGGGGGTTCCCACATCTGTAGCAGGAGGAGGCTGTGGCCAGAGCTGAGGCCTGAAGCATGTGACGGCCTGTGGACCACAGGAAAGATTTATGCTGGTGGACGGCGCTGGGATGGGTGCCGGGTAGGTTGCTGGGAAAGGTGAGAGGAGGCAGGAGGCCCGTGGGAGGCAGTGTGGTAGGGGTGCTGCTCGCCTGGCCCCAGGAGCAGACATAGAGAGAGGCTGTGGATGGGAGAGAGTGAGGAGGGATGTGGGCAGGACCTGGTGCGCTGTGAGGGCGGGGAGAGGAGCCTCAGTCTTCTCCTTGGAAAGATGGGCTCATGCCCTCCTCAGGCGCTGGGCTGGGGACTCACTGAACAAGGAAGGCTCTCAGCGGTGCTCCTGCCCCACCCTGGCCCTCACATCCCTTTGCCCACCTTTTGTCCCCAAGCCTATGAGCGCATTTATAATTTTTGGAACTTTAACAAGGGAAATCTACTGTCACCTCCTATGTCCCTACTCCTCTTAGCACCACACACACACAACACACTACATGCACTGCTCCCCCCAAACACATCACACACATACACAAACACCTGCTCACAAACACACCACACACTACATCCAACCCCCACACAAACATAGCACATACTCTACACCCTCCCACATACTACACACCAACTACCTCCACATACCCCACACACTACACCCCCTGACACAAACACTGAACATACTATACACACACATCCATACTACACACCATACTACCTAACCCCCCACTACACACACTACACCCCCCATACAAACACATCCCACACCACACACACACAAACTGCACACACAAACACCCTATACCTCACAGACACGCACAGAGGCTGGTGCCTGCCAACACCTCCTGCTTGAACCAGGTTTCCCACTTAGCCTGGTCCTCTTCCTCCCCAGACCCCAGACCACACACCCTTTGCAGTGGTTGGCAAATGGCGGCTCGAGAGCCACATGTGGCTCTTTGGCCCCTTGAGTGTGGCTCTTCCACAAAATACCATGGCCCAGGCAAGTCTATTTGGAAGAAGTGGCGTTAGAAGAAGTTTAAGTTTAAAACATTTGGCTCTCAAAAGAAACTTCAATCGTTGTCCTGTTGATATTGGGCTCTGGTGACTAATGAGTTTGCCGACCACTGTAGAGGCAGCGTGAGGCATGTCCTCATGTCAGTCCTCCGTCCCAGCTTTTAGGGTGGTGCTGCCTGCGTGGCTGTTCCGTAGCCCTGTTGGACTGTGTGTGCACTCCTAGCAACACAGTGGCTTTGAGGGGCTGCCCACGTGCCTGCCTCTGCTTGGGGCTGCCTGGGCCGAGGGATGGGTGGCAAGGGAGCTTCAAACAACAGAAAAAGTCAGCATTTCCTCAACGTCCCCCTGCCCCCAGGCATGTGGCCCAGCCTAGCCAACCCAGGTTTATCTGGTGATTGATTGGTTTTGTTTTTTCCTTAAGCCTCAAGGGCGTGTACCATGCAGAACCAGCCCGGTTTGTCTTTATTATTTATTATTATTTATTATACTAGAGGCCCAGTGCATGGATTCGTGCACCAGTGGGGTCCCTGGCTTGGCCTGTGGGATAGGGCTGAAACCGGCTTTCTGACATCCCCCAAGGGGCCCCAGATTGTGAGAGGGCAATTCTCAGGCGACGAACCGGGCTCCCTCCTCTTTGGCTCTGGGTGTGTCACCCAAGAACTGCATATGCCAAGTCACCTCAGCTCGGCAGTTCCTGTGTTGAGCGCCAGCCCCCTGGTGGTCAGTGTGCATCATAGCTACCAATTGGCCAGTTGAATGGTTGGCCGGTTGGCAGGTTGCTTAGGCATATATAGGGGTCCCTCAGCTGGGCCTGCACCCTCTCCAATCTGGGATCCTCTCACAATTCAGAGCCACTGGCTCTTAAGCACTCACTGCTTGCTTGAAGCCCATAACTGCTCTCCTGCCTGCCTGATGGCCCTAACTACTCTCCCCTCCTGGCCTGAACCCCCTAACTGCCTATGTGCTCTCCCTTCCTCTCCCCACCTTCAGACCCCAGTGCAGGAGTGTTGAGAGCTCTCTGCTGGGACCCTGTCCCCATCCTGATGCCCCCATCTGGGCAGGACAGTGCCGCAGCCCTGCACATGCCTTTGCATGGGGGGAGGAGGCTGCCCCTTGCAGGAGCCTCATGTTCCGGTGGCATAAGTCCCCGCCCCCGCCCACCAGCTCCTGTGCATACGCAGCCTGGTCCTGACTGTGACACGGTTAGGACCAATTAGCATATTACCTCTTTATTATGTAGACAGATTAGTTCCTGGAGCTGCCCCTCTGAGCAGGGGGGGCACCAGAGCAGCCTGGGTCAGAGCAGTCTTGCTCACCCGGGTCCTCTTCTCCGAAGGGGTGGTGATGAAGGGGCCCAGGAAACGCTGTCTCTCCCCCCTGCCACCCTATTCAGGCCCGAGTGGGCTGCCCTCGGCAGGAGTCCCCACCTGCTGCCTCTGTTTACCCCCCTGAGGGCCAGTCTCAAACCCAGAGGTGGGGGTGGGAGCAGTCTGCAGTCTGTCAGCTCAGCTCCCTCTGCCTTATGGATTGGTCAGCGTGCCCTCTAGTCATAAGAGGAGGGATGCTGTGGGCCCTCCAACCCCCACTACTCCCCCCCCCCCAAACATGGAAGATTCTATCTGTGGTTTGGGCCTGGAGTGGAATCTCCACATGGCTCTTGCAAAGATAGATTCTAATCTACAAATCTGCAGCCCAGGTGGGCTGGCCAGAGCTCTATCATCCCGGAGGCAGGAAAACCTGGCCACTCACTCCCGACGGCTTTATTGGGTGTGCGGCCTGCACCCAGAAGGCCCCTGTGCTTAGCTTAGTGGCCCACTGTTGCTGTCTTGAAATCCTTAATAACTTTTGAATAAGTAGCCGACATTTTCATTGGGCACAGGGTCCCACCGGTTACATAGCTGGTCCTGCTTACTTCCTGTTGTCCTCCCTCTAGTAGCTTTTGAATTTTGAACTATGGAGACTTATCTTTTCTATTTCATAAGTAAACCCCCCTAAGGATAAAAACAGAGGACACATTTATTATTTGTTGTACACATTCGGAAACGGTCCACGTGTCTTTTGTGGTTCCCCGAGCTGCTGCACACACTCCCACACTCCATACCTCCGGCCCACAGCCCCTCTGACCCCCAGGAGAGCCGAATGGGGTGCAGAATGCCAGCCCAGGAAAGACATGGACGCAGCTGGGCTCCAGGCCACTGGCCCCCATGCCGGGTCCATGCTACTGCCCGGGACAAGCCAGTTTTTACTGCACAGCTGGGGAGGGGAGCAGGGGCTCTTGACTCTCTCTCTGACTGCCCCTACTCCCTACCTCTTCAGGGTCAGAGGACACTGAAAAGTCATAGACTAAGGTCGTCAGCTCTGCTTGCAGCTCAGGAAGGATACTTCTGTGTAGACAGGAGACTTTTGTGGCCAGGAGGCCATCTTAGCCACCTCCTTGGAGAGAGCCCTGTCTACTCTCTGCAGCCAGAAGAAAGATGATGGCCTTAGACTCCGTAGAGAGAGAATCCATGAGCTCTTGAGGCCCCTCATTCTAACATTTGTCACTGATGGGGGCTTCTTGCTTGAATCACCGAGGGGGCAGCTTTGCCCACTTCTTACTAAGCTTAGGAAACTGGGCTTCTCCTGCCCTTGGAATCCCTACCTACCCAGAGCCCGCTCTTCAAGCCTCTTTGGAGCAGCTCCTTTCCGCTCAGCCCGAACGAGAGGGCACTGCTACCCCCTGGTGGCCAGTCAGCAGAGGCTCAAGGAGCCACCTAGGAGGCGGGGCTCCCTTCCCCAGCCCAGGGACAGCAGCTGTGAGTGCTCAGGTAAATGAATGTCCTTCCTCTGTTCCTAGAACACAGCAAGCTCATCCTCACCTGGGCCTTGGCCCTTGCTGCTCTCTCTCCGGAATGTTCTCCCTCCAGATCTCAGGTGGCAGCCCCTTTCTCATTCTCTAGCCCTCAGGCCAAATTTTACCTCCTCAGGCAGGGAAGTCCTCCTGGACCCACGGCTCTGTGTAAATTCTCTGTCTTATTGCCCCTCGCCCTTTGGGGTCCTAGTAAGTTTCCTGTGTTACTGGATCTCCATGCATCATAGGTAGTAGAGAGTCAAAACGACTTGTTGAAGGAAAACATAAATGCATGTCAACAAGAGTAACTGCAGTTTAGGCAGCGCTCTGGTCCTCAAAACCACACCCTGATGTGGGTGGGGCACATATTACCCCATTTGACAGATGAATAAGCTGAGGCTCAGAGAGACTTATGGGAGTTGCCTGAGCACCCAACAAGGGGGAATGAGCCTGACCCTGGTGGCTTTTCCTGGGCTCCTCAGTCCTATACTCTCAAGGGGACAGAGGGCGTCCAGGCCTGGACAGCTGTGCGGCGGGATGAGGCGGGCCCCTATGTGAGGTCCAGAGTGACCCTGGCTATTGTGGGAGGCTGCGTTGCACCCTGTCCAGAGCTGAGCGGTGGCCCTGTGGGTGGCGGTGGCATCGGAGTCCACAGGGTTCCCGGACAGTGGCCTGTCTGTTTGCAGAGATGAGCGTCTGGAGCAGGAGCATGTGCGGGGGCAGCAGGCAGGAAAGCTGAGCCAGCGAGGAAATGGTGCCGCCTCCAGGCCAGGGTTTCACGGTGACATAGAGTCGCATGAGGACTCCCAGGACCCAGCCCTGCGCTCACTCCTCTCAGCTCAGCCCGAGGTAGGGGCCGCCCTCTAACTCTGGGCCCAGCACAGACACAAGGCCCAGGGCTCTGCCACAGCGCCCGGGCCAAGCCGGGGCGGGCGGTGCAGCCGTTGGAGGCCAGGATGACCGGGCCCAGGGCACGCTGAGCCTCTGGTGTCCAGAGAGGGAGGCTGGAGGTCAGCAGCATCTTCTCCTGGTCTGGTCCTCGGGCGAGAGCTTGATGGAGTCTGTGAGGTAATTCTCTGTGTTCCGATACTGGGGAGGGAGGAGAGGAGTCAGGTCCACCTCTGAGTGGCTGCGAGCACCACTTGCCCTGTCTCCTGGCCGCCGATGCTACTGGCTCTCTGTTCCCTCCCTCGGTGCTGCTGGGAAACTGGGGCCCCTGGTCTCCCCCACCCCCTTCCTTCCTCACCTCCTCCAGAGCCCAGAGCGGTTGGGTGGCTGGTCAGGGACCAGGTGTCCCGACCTCTAAGCAGGCACCCTAACTTCCCATTCTCTGCAGGGGCAGCCGAGGTGACGTCTGGCCTCAGCAGAGATGATGGCAGCCTGCCCTTAGCTTTCTTTCTGCTGAGACCTCTCCCCATAAACATCCCTGCACCCCAACCTTCTCTCACCACGGCCACCTCCCACTCTGTCAGTCCCATTCTTCCGTGTCCAGGGAGGCTCCGGACACACTCATGGCCTGTCTGCCCACCTCCCATCTTCTGTCCCAGCACGGCCCAGAGGAAACCCTGCTCGACCTTTCTAACCCCCCGCCTCCACCCCCGCTGGTCACTGCTCACATGGGACTCGCCCACCTGGCTCAGGAGCGAGGGTGGGTGTGGGGGGGTCTTCCTAGGACATGGTTCCACATGCAGAGAGGTTCCTTCTTAAAGGGACTCTATCCCCATCCCCACTGTGCCGCTGATCTCAGTCACCGCGTCCCTCCACAGCTGATAGGCGTGTGCACAAGGGCGGGATGGGTGACCTCGCCCCGTGTGCAGCTGTGGCCCTGAGAAGGGTGGGCAGAGCCTCCGGAGTGGCAGGTGACACTGCCTGGTGTTGTGTCCCCAGTGCCCCTCTCTGAGGGACAACTTTGCTGACTTTCCCTCCTCCATGGCTCCCGGGCTCTGGTTGGGTGCCCAGCTGGTGAATGTCAACCAAACCCTAATGCCCTGGACCCTGGACCCCAGGAGGTGGTGTCAGGCTCACCTGCTGCACCCTGATGATGGTGACCCCCAGGACACACAGGAGGTCCCCTGATGCCCTGTCACTTGCTGTCACCCCCAGACTGAGTAATTTACTCCTGCAGGTTTGATATTCCACTTGGACAAATACTTGGCAGCAGAGGGCTTCTCTCCCACCAAGGAGGATTGGACTAATCACATCTCAAAACTCTGACTAATTAGAATCTCCAGGGGTGGGGTACAGGATGGCATTTCCCCCCCCTCTTTTTAGAAACTCCACAGATAACTTTGATATCAGCCAGATGGAGGGGCCTCAGACTAGACACTCTAAAGCAGCTTTGTGCCTCTGGCATCCTGTGGTCCCAGATGGAGGTCTATGGAGCCCATTCAGCAACTCATTAAGTCGGTGAGCAATCCTGCCCGCCTACATCCCTACCTGTGTCCAATATGTTCTTTTCTGGAAGCTCCCAAGTTCCCCCATCCTAGGGGGCCACCCGGCCAAGTGCGGCCTCCATAGCCACTCACCCTGGACAGGGCTCGGCTGGCCAGCATCTCGAAGGCTTGTACCACGTTGATGTCATTCTTGGCGCTGACTTCAAAGTAGGGAATATTCTTCTCTTTACACCAGTCCTGGGCTACCTCCTGTGGCACCTGAATGGCCGGGAGAAAGGATCACTGTTTCTGGAGCATCATCCCCACCATCCCTACCTCCATTGCCACTTACTGAGACCCTTCCAAGGGCCTGTAACTTTACACATGCTATTTCTTAACATAAATGCGAGATGGCTATTGCTAGCTTCATTTTCCAGATGAGGAAACTGAGGACTAGAGAATAAAAGAATTTTCCCCGAGCATTGGGGCTGAGCAGGATTTGAACACAGGCCTGGCCGAAATAGAGGCCCCGTGGACTGTGCTGCCTTCTGAAGGCCTACACGAGGGGCGTCTTCCTGCCATCGGTTCCTTCTCCAGTTCCTTCCAAAGGAGATGGACATGAGGGACACTGGCAGGGACGGAGGACTCTCTTCCCATGAGCTGGCTGACCCAAGGGGCCTGTTGCTGGGCAGAGACTCAGGTCCCAATGGCTCAATGGATAGAACGTTGGCCTGCATACTGAAGGGTCCTGGGTTCGATTCCGGTCAAGGGCACATGCCCCGGTTTCAGGCTCCATCCCCAGTAGGGGGTGTGCAGGAAGCAGCCAATCAATGATTCTCTCTCATCATTGATGTTTCTATCTCTCTCTCCCTCTCCCTTCCTTTCTGAAATCAATAACATATTTTTAAAAATAGAGATAAGAACATTGAGGCTCAGAGAGGTTCAGCAACTTGCCTCAGATCACACAGCTGAGAAAGGCCGGGTTCAGGAGCCCTAGCGCAGTGCTCCCCTGACATCTGAGCCCCCCCCCCCCCCCTCCCCGCAGAATGTTGCTGCTTTTCTGTCGCTCCTGCTGGACTGCAGGTGTTTTGAGTTCAGGGTCAGGGCCTTTTCAGCTCTCAGCCTGGTGCGTGAGCCACGCAGGGCAGTGAATGAGTACAACACTGCCTGCGTGCCAATGGCTGGTCCCACTTAGACTTCTAAGTCTTAGAGGGTCTGGGTTGGAAAAGGCCTGGCAGCATTGCAGGTGACTTCTAAGGACATTGTTTGCCACTGCGTTTCATGTCTCATGCTTTTGGGAAGGAGGAAGTGGCCATCTACTGAACATTTGCTGCACCTGGGACTTTATAATCATTATTTCATCTTATTTAAGGCAGCCAGGCTTTTCTCATGGAGAGAGGGCTTTGTGTTTGTTCCCAGAGCACAGAGCAGCGGGGGAGGGGGGGGGAGGTGGGAGACTGCCCCCAGCAGGTTGCCTTCCTGGCTCCTGCAGGTCCTGGGAATTTATTTTCCTGAGATGAAAGGTCCCACTGCTGTTCCTTTCTTTGCTTTTCTGGTCTCAGGAGTGGCCTCAGGGCCCAGGGCTCATGGCTGTCTTTCACATGCCTCGCCTGTCCCCCCAGCATTGCCCTGGCATTGTGAGGGTTGCTACCTCACATTGCGGGGTAAAGACTGGGGTCAGCCAAGCAGCTTGCCCTTCGGGGAGCCCAGATGACACCTCTACCTCCCAGGGGCAGGCTCTGCCCCCAGTTGCTGCTGAACTTGAGCAGAGCAGGGAGAAACCTAAAGCCCTGGTCTTGGGCCTGATCAACACGATCCTCCTGCCTTTGGGAATAGGGGCCCCCGTAGTGGCCCTGAGCACGCGTGCCCCATTCGGTGGAGCATAGATGCCCACGAACGGGTGAGTCACCAAGAAGCCTCACATCTTGGGGAAAATCCGGAACTGTATTTGGGGGAAGAAGCAGGGATGGCCGGGCTGCTGGTTACTATTGTCCTCATGAGTGACATGCAAATCAATACTCATTTGAAATTAACAAGTTATACCTGGATGGCATTTTAGTAACACAAAGGGCTTTGTATCTTTTTAAAAAATGTACTATTGATTTTCTTTTTTTTAGAGAGAGAGGACAGGAGAGGGATAGGGAAATAGAAACGCCCATGAGAGAGAAACATCATCCATCGGCTGCCTCCTGCATATTACCCTACTGGGGATCAAACCAGAAACCCAGACATGTGGCCTCACCCTGGGAATCGAATCAGTGACCTCCTGGTTCATAGGTTGCTGTTCAACTACTAATCCACACTGGCTGGGCCTGGCCTTGTGTCTTTTAAAGTCCTTGAGGGCGCCCTAACCGGTTTGGCTCAGTGGATAGAGCACCAGCCTGCGAACTGAAAGGTCCCAGGTTCCATTCCGGTCAAGGGCATGTACCTTGGTTGCGTGCACAACCCCAGTAGGGGGTGTGCAGGAAACAGTTGATTGATGTTTCTCTCTTATCGATGTTTCTAACTCTCTGTCCCTCTCCCATCCTCTCTGTAAAAACTCAATAAAATATATTAAATAAATAAATAAATAAATAAATAAATAAATAAAGTCCTTGAGGGCAAGGACTGTCTTTTCCCTTCTGATGGCTCCTTCCTTGTTTATCGCCCACCCCTGCCCCGCCCACCAGCCCTCCAGCCCCACCAGGTGATGAGCATTTTCCTGGGCCCGTCATTGGCACTCAGGAGCTGCAGAAGAAATTGAAGGGAGGTGCAATTAAGTCACATGCCCCTGCCTTCTGGAGTCTTTCTTTTTAGTGGCACAAGAGGCAGAAGCCAGGATTGGTGCCCAAGGTCACCAGGGTCTGTGCTGGGAAGACAAGTTTGCAGCTCTAGCTGGCTAATTTCAGCTGCCCCTACTCTCTTGCTGGACAGTGATGGGACTATGGCAGGTATTTTATTTCATTCTCTCCACTCTTTCTCTGTTCTGTTTACATGCAGTGATGAAATACACAGCTCCAAAATAGCAGTGGGGATTATGTTGCAAATGAACCTTCTCTTTCTATTCCTAGCACCTCTCCATTGAACCTTGGAAAGCTGGCCTGGGAAGAAAGCAACCAGACACTACTTTTTACTTTCCTCTTTCACGTCCACTGCAGTTTCATGATTTTTAAAACCGTCCTGTCTTTTATTTATAAAATAATGGCTATTTATAACTTAGACTCTGACTGTGGAAATAGACTCAGGGTGTGATACTTGGGGATAGGAGAAGTATTCAAGTTTTTGAAATGTTACTTCTATTAATTTTGCCTCTGGCTGACAATATACTACTAACATTTTACTTCTCCTCTTCACCCAAGGATCTGTTTTTATTGATTTGAAAGAGAAAGAGAGAGAGAGAGAGAGAGAGAGAGAGAGAGAGAGAGAGAGAAAGAAACATTGATCGGTTGCCTCCCATACATGCCCCAATTGGGGATTGAACCCCAAACTGGGCATGTGCCCTGACCAGGAATGGAACCTACAGCCCTTCAGTGTATGGGATGACACTTCAACCAATGGAATCACACCGGCCAGGGCTCCTATTGCAATTTTGATGGTTCATCAGAGGCCAAAAGTTTGACAAAATTAGTCCAACTTATGTAATTTTATTTGTGCTACTTTCCCATCTTATATAAATTTTAAATAATCAATTATATGTGTTAAAATTAGTGTGTCAAATACATCTTTTTAAAAAAATATATATTTTATTGATTTTGTACAGAGAGGAAGGGAGAGAGATAGAGAGTTAGAAACATCGATGAGAGAGGGTCATCGATCAGCTGCCTCTTGCACACCCCCTACTGGGGATATGCCCGAAACCAAGATACATCCCTTGACCGGAATTGAACCTGGGACCTTTCAGTCCCCAAGCCGATGCTCTATCCATTGAGCCAAACCGGTTTCGGCAGTGTGTCAAATACATCTTAAACTGCTACCAAAAATAACCAATATTTTCAGAAAACATAATCCCCACATTATGCCTTAGTGGAAAGTCAGAAAGTACCAACATGGACTTAGAGCAAAGAATCCACAAGCTAGTGAAGAAATTCCTTGTAGCATAGATGCTAGCAGAACTATTCTTTTAAACAACCTAACATTTTTTTCCCCTCTAGGGCCTTCTGCAGAAAGAGTATGGATTTAAAAAAAATCTAGGCCAATAATTTCTTTTAAATCATTCTGCCAATATATATTTTTTATTGTGGTAAAATACATATAAAATTTTCAATTTCAACGATATATAAGTATGCAGTTCAAGGACATTGAGTTCAGTGCAACTGTCACCCCCATCCATCTCCAGAACTTTTCCTTCATCTCAAATCTTAGCAATAGAGGTTTAACTATCTATTTTCTTTTTACTGAGTAGGTGAGGCTCCTGTGTTTATCCAGCCGGTGCCTTGGAGATAATAAGAAGGATAAGCCTTAATCCCATTTATTAAGCTTGCCTCATGTTTTATAGGCATCATTTCCTTTAATCCTCAAACAACCTCAAGAACTCTGTGTCTGGCCCCCATTTCACAGATGAAAAAGCTGGAACGGGCTAACCACATGTCCCAGAGATGGGATGGGGCTTGCCCGGGGCTTTACTGCTTCTTTCAAGCCTTCATCTTCCTCTCTTGGTAGCTCAAAGCTCATGCCCCCTCCCAAGCTTGGACTGGACCCCCTCCACCCTTTCGAGGCATTGCCTGTACTTCCCACCCTGCCAGGACCCCGTCACTCACTGAGCTCTGCAGTCTGGCAAGGCTTCCTCTCCACCTCACCCTGTAGCCTCGACCCCTCACAATAGCTTCCAGTTCCTTCCCTCTCAACAGACTTCACCTTCTTTCCTCTTCTTTCCAGGGCCCGGCCCCAGCCCTCTGTAAATAACACTAAATACAGTCTTCCACTCTGTGGCTGCAACCTGTGTCCCTTCACCCCCCTCCCCTGCTCATTCCTCTGCCCTCCTCCTCCACCTCTGCTGGCCAGCCCCCTGGCCCTTCCACCCACTTCTTGCTGCTCTTCTTTCCTTCATGGTTTCCAGTGCCCTCACAGCCCCATGCTTCAGCTACTCTTGTCTGGAAAAACCTTAGACCCAGGTCCCTCGTTCCTGGCTCTTCCCCTACACAGGGCCCTTGAAGAAAAAACACAACGCAGACTCCACCTCAATCTCCTGGTGTCCTTCTTCCGCTAAGCCTTGAGTGTCACCCATCTGTACTTGTCTTTGTCCCCAATTAGCTTCTTCACCTGTTTCTCTCCAGGTGACTGGTGAAGATTCACTATTATTTCTCAGACTCCTACTTGGTTTTCTCTCAAGAAGATGGTGCCTCTTATTTCACTGAGTAAAAAATCAGACTCTCAGTCTTGACCTCCCTCAACCCCCCACCCTACAATCTATAGGTATATGAAGCAGGATGTTAATTAAAGTGGAAGTTTTGGGGGAGGTGCTACAATTGGATAGATGTCTGATATAAGGTGGGCTAGGAGACAGACTGTCCCCTGACCTTGTATATTTCCAAAGTACATGATCAAGAATCCATAATTCTAAACCCCACACCATGGACACGAAAAGATTGAAAAGGAGGAGTAGAAAGGTTTCTTTGGAGAAAGTTGTGCTGTGGGTGCACCCCCCAAAAGACAGAGAAAAGGCAAAGCCTCACCTATACCCCAAAAAAGGGCTTCAAGGAGGCCACTTGGAAAGCTTAACATTCAAATCCCTGGAGTTTGGTAGCTACTATGGATTTGTGTCTGACATGCATCTGAGGGACCCAAAGCAAAAGGCAACAGGGCAGAGCACCTTTTACAAATTAAGTCTACCTCTAGTCTCTTCTCATTCGTAGGCAACTCACTGCAGTAAACACCTACACAGAGCAGCGTCACTGCAGCCATGGAACAGATCCAGAATACACTTAAGCTAATTTATTTTTTAAAATATTTTTATTGATTTCAGAGAGAATCATCAATGATGAGAAAGAATCATTGATCAGCTGCCTCCTGCACACCCCTACTGGGGAAAGAGCCCACAATTCGAGCATGTGCCCTGACTGGGAATCAAACTGTTGACCTCCAAGTTCATAGGTCGATGCTCAACCACTGAGCCACGCTGCCAGGCTATGCTTAAGCTAATTAAAAAATGATTACTACTTTCTCCGAAAAATTTGTAGATTCAAGTATTTATAACTGCAGACAACCCCTACATGACCCTGGGTAGAAATACTGTTCTACAGGTTAATTCAAATTCCATCTGCCTACTTCTGATGCCTTAATTCTTCCACTCCCTGTCTCTAGACAAAATTGTCTTTCTCAGCTCATAGCATGCTATTTCTTGCCTTTGCTCATGCTGTTTTATCAACATGGAAGCGATCTACCATAGGAAGCTCCTTCTAGATTTTGGTCTTAGTAAAAACACTTTCACTGTGGTCTCCACATTTCCAAGGTCTATCACTATCATTGTATTTTACCAATATTGTAAAATATTACCTTTTATTTTTAAAAAAATATATTTTATTGTTTTTTTTTGCAGAGAGGAAGGGAGAGGATAGAGAGTTAGAAACATCGATGAGAGAGAAACATCGATCAGCTGCCTCCTGCACACCCCCCTTCTGGGGATGTGCCAGCAACCAAGTACATGCCCTTGACCAGAATCGAACCTGTGACCTTTCATTCTGCAGGTCAACGCTCTATCCACTGAGCCAAGCTGGCCAGGCCATAGATACTTTTTAAAGTATCTCCATCCATTACTAAACTGTGAAATTTTAAAGCAAGGACTGTGTATGAGTCAACTCCGTATGTGTGGGATCTATCACAGTGTCTGGCCTATAGTCGGTGCTCACACAATGTTGGGTGAATGAGTCAATAAATGAATGGTACCTGCCGGTCTGCCAGATCAATCTTGTTCCCCAGTGCCACCATGGGGTAGGACTGCTCCGTTGGAATGATTTTGGCCAAGACATCACCCCGCCAGGTATTCAGAGCTTCAAAGGACTCCAGGTCAGTGACATCAAAAGCCAGGATGCAGCCATCGGAGCCTTTGTAGAATGTGGACACCATGGAGCGGAATCGCTCCTGTCCACCTGTGTCCCAGATCTGGAGGAAAAAGCAGATGATGAGTGGGGTGTGATGAGTGGCTGAAGGTTTGGCCCCACTGGAGACATCATAAAAAATTTCTATTTCTGGGTAGGGAGCAGGCAGCCCTGGCACAGGTGCATGTGGTATCTTGACCCTGTCACCCTTCTACACTGCAGTATCTTGGCACTCACATTTAGCATCCATAAGTACTTTCATATCTGAGCTCTTGTTTTTCCCAGGGCAATCAGAATAGATAATGTTATTCTCATCTGATAGGTTTGGACCTTGGGAATGATTTGCCAAGGCCACTCGCCAAATTTTCCAGGGACCTAAGACTAGAAGTAAGACTCCCCAACTCCTGTACTCGAGCTCATCCTTCTAGATCAGAGATCAGCAAAAAGTTTTTTCTGTAAAGGGTCACAAGTAAAAATCTTAGGCTTTGCAGACCATACTGTCTGTTGCAACTACTCAACTCTGCTGCTCTAGTGTGAAAGCAGCCATGGACCATTAGTAATCAAGTGGGCATGACTGTATGCCAACAAAATTTTATTTGCAAAACCAGCTGGTGGACCAGATTTGGTCCATTAGCTGAAGTTTGCTGATGTTAGCTCTAAACCATCCTAGCTCCTAGTACCCATTACTGAGAGTGGCTGCCCAGAGAATGTGGGGTGATTTTTAGGTATGACTGTTGAAGAGGAAAGAGAGGGCGGCTCACCTGTAGCTTCAAAGTTGTGTTATTCAGGATGATAATCTTGGAGAGGATACTGGCCCCGAGCGTGGTCTGATAATCCTCAAAAAAGGTCTTGTGCACATATTGGTGGAGGAGGGAGGTCTTTCCTACACTGAGGAAAAACCCCAGATACATGTGAACACAGACATCCACACCATTCTCAAAATCTTACCAAGCCCCTCTCGCCACCGTCTCTTCCCAAGATTCTGAATTTCTAACATTTGTGGTCCAAGGATCAAACACTTTGAGTAGCAAGGCACTAGGGAACGGTTTCTAGAAATAGGAACCAGTCAAAGTGAGCCGAGAGGTTGAAGAGAGCTGGGTGCCAAGGTCAGGTCTTTAAAGCAAAGGCCAGGTCTTTCCTATAGGAGGCAGGAGGCGGGAAGGCAGATAGATGCTACGTGTCCTGTTACCACAGAGTTTGGATCAGAAACCAGGTAGCCTGATTCCCAGCCTTTTTCTCCTACTGAGCTCCCTTCCTTGGGTGGGATGCCCTCCCTAGTGCCACCTTGAATCAGAAGGGTACCCATGGGAGGTGGAAACACAGTCAGGAGGTCTCTCTACCCTTGGCTAGGGGCCTCATCCCAACCTCAGACCCCAAGCAGAGCTTGGCTTCACTCACCCCAGGGCTCCGACGATGATGAGCTTCAAATCCACCTTCTTCCGGGGATTCATGGAGGGGCTTCAGAGCCTGTAGGAAGACAGAAGTCACCCACATGCTGGCCAGAGTCCCCTGTGGCTGTTGTCACTGAGGCTGGCCTCTACTTCCTTCTTTTTGGTGTGCAGGTAAACTGGCCTTGGCCTAGGACTTGGGTGAGGTTGAAAGGTGGATGACTCAGCAACCCATACACACATTCCCCCTCACTTCCTCTGGGGGCTTCCCCAAGGTTGGGGGGGTGGAGACCCCACAGGACAGTTGCATCTCTCACCTTTTAGCTCTACCAACTCTGATCTCGGAGGCAGCCTGGAGTGCCAGGAAGGCGGGAGGCATTGAACAGAGGCCTCACAGATGGTCAAGCCTGGAGCCAGGGATGGAGGGCAGTATGGGAAGAGGAGATGGGGGCAGGACAAGGGGTCCATTGTCAGGACTACCCAAGAGGCTTTGGATGAAAGTGTGTCCCTCCCCCAGCCCGAGGTGTTGCCGCAATTGCAGAATCAAAGGCTCTTCTTTGAGGCAGCTGGTGGGATTGTAATTGGTACATGTTTCTGGAAAGCCACTTGGCAGCTAGTGAGAGTCTTAAACATGTCCCTGCCCTCCACTTACTAGGAATTTGTCTAAGGAAATAAATCCGAATGCAGACGAAGACGTTTGTTCAAGAATGCCCTTCAGAGGATTATTCATAAATATCCAACAGTAAAGAAGTGGTTAAATAAATTATGGCACACAATGAGATAGGGACAGAGGTAGAATATTGGAAACCAGCTATAATTGTAAGAAATATTAATCATGCTCAGTTAACCGTAATTGTTTTGTTCTCTTTAAAGAAGGCATGTTCTAACCTGGCTGGGTATTGCACGGGGACCTGGGAGCTCGCCTGGAAATGTAACCCATCCTCTCCATCCAGGAACTGCCTATTATCATGGGAAGATTAATAATCTTGTTGCAGAAATCAGAGCTGCTAGCCCTTTGAAGACCCCTAGCCTTTGCATTCCCCCAGGCCTTTGCATACCCCCAGCCTGCATTATCTGTAAACTTCCCATTTGGCATACCCTTTTGCCTACTTCCCCATGTAATCTTCGTCCTTCTACCCAATATAAGCAGCTGGATTATAGTGGGGGGCAGAGCAGATTTGTGAGGATGACCTGCTGCTCTCCCGCACTGCCGGCAGCATTGGACTTAACGCTCATATATGATTCAACCCTGTCTCTGCTGAACTGGCTCACGTAGTGACAGGTAGCCTAGACCCATTGATTGTCTGGTTATTAAAATGACATTTTTGAGCATATTATAATAATGTGAGAAAGTGGTGCCCTAAGATCTAAATACAATGCAGAAGACACTAAACTGTACGTGCAATACCACTCCAAATATTAAAATGAGTTCTTACTTACATAGCAAAAGTTCTGGAACAAGATATATAAAAACTTAAGTATTTAATTCTGAGTGGTGGGAAATTATATGATTTTAATTTTGTTCTGTATGCTTTTCAGTATGCTCCAATTTCTTTACAATAAACACGTCAAACATGTATTGTTCCTATAAGAGAAAAGGACTTGTGTGTGCGCTTGTATGTGATACACACACACACACACACACACACACACTCTGAGTGGTCAGATTATTATGATCTCTGAATGCATAATAATCTGGCCACTCAGTATATTTGCCCTTTTTCTTAGACCACATTCTACTTGCTAAGACCATTATCTCCCCCCTCCAGACTCACTCAGAAAATTCTCTGCCCTGAGAAAGCACTCCTAGAGTCCTTTAAAACCTCTGATTTCCCATCCCTGGGTGCTGATGCCATTTTGGGGCTCAGCCCATCTGGTTTTCCAAATGATCTAAGAGATTCATAATTCTTTACCCTCTTCCGAGAGCCTAACACCTCTGGTTGAAAAATGCTTTATCTACTGGAGCCGTAATTCAGTAGACCACAAGAGCATTGCCTGGGCACTCCTAGTTAGTGCAGTTAAAATAGCAAACTCTCAGAGGCCTAGGATTATTAGTGTCTCTCCATGCACCATGCCATTGCCCAAAGGTAAACTGAGGCTTTGCTCAGAGCTGTTTGTACCAGGAGCCAGAGTTGATGGTACTGCACCTTCTACCCAGGAGAGCTGGGTTGGCGTGGTGGCCAAATGGTCTTCTCGGGGGTTCATGCATTCACTCAATAAGTGCATACACACCTACTGTGTGCAGAGCCCTGCACTGACCACTGGAGGAGCACAAAGATGAAGCAAACAGGACTCCCCAACCTCCCACCAGTGAGCCATCAGGGGAGAAAGGACAGAGCAGTTACACCAGAAAGTGTCAAGTGCAGACAGAATGCTGTGGGAATTCACTGAGGAGAGAAGCCACAATTGAACTGGCCCCGAGGAAATGAAACGTGGTTGGAGGCTGATATTTCAGGGGAAGGGAATGATCCTCTGAAAGGGGATGATCTGGGAGCAACCGAGTGGAGAAGGTGGATGGTCTGCTTCAGGGAACATGTGGGGAAAGGTATGGAGAGAAGAAAGCCTAGAGGGATTCAGATGGGTCCTGAAAGACCAAGGATCCTGTCTGCATCCATCCATCCATCCATCCATCCATCCATCCATCCATCCATCCAACATGTCCTATGCTCCAGACATGGGAGGGAGAGAATTCCAGGTGTTCACTGGGGCTGGTGTTTTGTAATGGGTGTCACTGCCCACAAAGAAACCAGCTAAGGGAGAAGTGGCTCAGAAGTTCCTGATAGACAGGCCTCTGAGCATCAGTTGCCACTCTGGAAGGGAAGTGGGAGTGATTGTGAGCTCTTCCCTAAAGGCTTTGGTGCAACGTGCTAACAGCCTCAAAGCCAACACTTAGGGAGTAAGAATGAAAGGAAGGCAGAGGGAAGTGGAAAAGAAATCTGCGGGATTCTCTGCATTCTCTGTGTGGCTTAAGGAGTCCTCCCAAGAGCCCTAAGAGATACTTACAGCTGAGCCACACACCCTGCCACTTGGTGCCCCTGTCAGAGGCCGGAGGGCTGGGTGGTGTGGGCTTAACCCTGGGCAGCCCAGCTGTGTGCATACGAGCTGGTATGCATATGAAGAGAAAACTATTGGTATCGCCCTTACCCAGTGGTCGGCGAACGCATTAGTCAGCAGAGCCAAACATCAACAGTACAACGACTGAAATTTCTTTTGAGAGCCAATTTTTTTAAAACTTAAACTATATAGGTTATTAACTTAATTAGGGTACTCCTAAGCTGGCCTTTGCTAAAAATCGTTCTCAATCTGATTGAGGCATGTGGCTCTCGAGCTGTAGTTGCCAACCACAGCTCTAACCAGCTGGGCTCAATGGACAGAGCGTCGGCCTTCGGACTGAAGGGTCCCAGGTTTGATTCTAGTCAAGGCCATGTACCTTGGTTGCGGGCACATCTCCAGTGGGAAGTGTGCAGGAGGCAGCTAATAGATGTTTCTAACTCTCTATCCCTTTCCCTCTCTGTAAAAAAAATCAATAAAATATATTTTAAAAACAACTATGTGGTATGTACAACAGAGGTTCAAAATCCAGTATGTGTGAAGCAGTCTACAGATAATCAAAGACAATGTACAACATAAAAGTGGGTAAACAATATAAACTAACCCAGTAGAAACCTTATGAATGATTAGTAGTAAGCTTTGAAAAGATAACTCAGCCTTACTAATTTTTAAGGATATGCAAATTTTAAAATATCACATAATCCCCCAGTGGCAAAAAGTAAAAAAGATTAATGATACTATTTAGTGTTGGCAAGTGTGTGGTGGTAACACTCTGGTATATTGCTGATAGAGTATGAATTGTTACAGTCTTTCTTGCAGGGCAATTTGACAAGATCAGAACTTAATATGTGCATATTTAGGTTCTAATTCTAGGAATCTATCCTACAGAAATACACATACTGTATACTCAAGCACACATTTGTACAAAGATAATTGCCGAAAAGCATTGTTGTAATCTAAATGTCCATCAATAAGACACTCTCTATATAAATTATAATCTATTCATACTCTGTGTGAGAGTGAAGTAATGAAAGATGAGGAGACAATTTAAGTAAAAATAGAACATTTTGGCTTGGCCAGTGTGACTTAGTGGTTGAGCTTGTGAACCAGGAGGTCACAGTTCGATTCCGTGGTCAGGGCACAGATCTGGGTTGCAGGCTCGATCCCCAATTGAGTGTGTGCAGGAGGCAGCCGACCAATGGTTCTCTCTCATCATTGATGTTTCTATCTTTCTCTCCCTTCTCACTGAATATATATATAAAAGAACATTTTGTATAGTATGATCCCAATTGTATAAAAACAAAAAACTATCTTATATATATGACTATATGTTTAATATTATATTTATGCTTGTCTTGTTTATACACAGAAAGCTATGGATTATCATATTAAATGACTACTAGGAAGTGGGGCAAGATAGATTAGAAGCTAGAGCTATTGTTTTATTTTATACTAGTGACCCAATGCATGGATTCATGTACATTGAAAGGAAATTAATTAGAAGGTGGCTGGCAGGGCAGACTGGGCAAGATGGGCCAGACACACCTTAGAGCCAACCTCCTGGGGTCCCTTCCTGGCCGGAGGCACCTGGGGCAGTGACTGGGCTTGAAGGATATTTGTGACAGAGTGAGCAGGGTCCCTCCGACAGATGGTGTCTCTAGGCCTGGCCTGCAGGGATTGGGCCAAATCGGCTCTCCAACATCCCCCGAGGGTCCTGGAGTGCGAGAGGGCACTCTGCAAAGTTGTTGTCATATAGAATATAGCACACAAATGCAAGTGTGCAGTAAACCAGATTCAGGCCGACAGTGCCCCTACAACAATATAACCCATGGCCGAAGGTGGAATCGCATGTCTCTCCTCTCTGGTTTCAGGGTGCATTACCCAAGAACCACTGCTGCCAAGCCACTGCAGTTCAGCAGGTCCTATATTGAGCATCTGTCCCTTGGTGGTCAGTGTTCATTGTACCTACTGGGTGGTCAGCTGGTTGCTTAGCTTTTTATATATATATATAT